CGCACGTCGCTGACAGCGTCATCATCGTCGTCTGCCATTTCTCGTTATCCGTCACCTCTTCGCATCCACCACCGACTGCTTCACCTGTTCACCGCTTCGGTTTACGTCGTTTCGATATTCGTCGCCGTCGCGCCTTTCAGGAACGCGTCCCCGACATGAACCGGAGTATTGCCGTGTATCTTTGACGACTTAAAAACTGAACACATTCATCAATACGACTGTGGTCTTTAAAATAAAGACGTATAATTGGCGATGTTTCGGGTAATGGCTCTTTTTCATAACACATGCAAAGGCCATAGAGGTAGAGTCGACTTGAGGAAGAAAATCCAATATCCTGTGGAATGGAGTACCATATCGTCTGGAATGGGATCCATTATTGCGTGGAACGGAATCCCATATCACGTGGAACGGAATCCCATATCGCGTGGAACGAAATTCCATATGACGTGGAACGGGATCCCATATCGCGTGGAACGGAATCCCATATCACGTGGAACGGGATCCCATATCGCGTGGAACGGAATCCCATATCACGTGGAACGGGATCATGAATTCTGTTCCGCAAATCCGGTCGCATTGCTCGCGGCTGACACATCCCGGGTTAGCACCAGAGCCATCAGTTACGACGCAACCCAAACATCGCCGCAACTTAATCATTGCCTGCGACTTCTTTTGTCCACACACGAGCGAGTAGCTGCGCAACGAGGAAGACCGTAACACCAACCAGTATCCGTAGGATCAAAGCACGCCGCTCACAAATCGCGGAGCAGATCGACGCTTCCAAAATCGAGTCGATCTCGACTGGTTGCGCGTCCGCTCGCAACAAGCACAATCGGTTGCCAGAGACGTTGAGACGTGCAACCCCGAGACGACCAACTGCTCGCTTAGTTGTGGACCCAGCTGTTGCTCCGACCTTATGGGTTGGCATTCAGAATCAGCATCTTCATGTAGACTGGAGGACGGAGGAATCCGATGAGCTATGAAGCTCTTTTTTTCACAGGTGTCCTGTGGGGGCCGACGGGTCAGCGAGTTGCAACAACAAACAATACAACAACAATAACAAAAACGACAGGAGTGCACAATAAATAAAAGGGCGAGCAGGTCACTAAAACATTTTAAATATAAATAAAGTTTTTTAAGTACAAAGCGCACAAGTACATAAACTCCTGCCGACTTTTCAAGACCAATTGTAAGCCTGGGCAAGGCAGCGAATCAACAAAAACAACAATAACAAACCGGTCCCAGATCGCACCAAGACAAACACCACGCACACCCACGAATTCAATCGATAAGTGGAGCTGAATCACTCACTGCAACGCTGCAAAACTCACGGTGTCCGTTGATCAGTGAATACTGCACTGTGAGCGAGCTGCCAACAGTCCACTGGTTGTAGGCGCCAAGCAGCCAGCAACAAACAGCCACGATAAAAAAAGTTGTAATTTAAACTGTATGTGCGTATATATGAAACACGGATAATACGTGTTGTTTTTGCATGTTCTGCACGTTGGTCACGTGTTTTTTGTTGACTAATAGTAACTGTGTAAGTTGTACCATAGTGGCCTTAAGTCCCATAGGGGATGAAGAGGATTAACTAAGTTGTACCATCATTAATTATGAAGAAGGGCCATTGCCCGAAACGTCGCCTTTTATATTCATATTTTCCGTTTAAGACCGCAGCGTTATTGACGAATGTGTTCAGAGCTTCCGTTAATGTATTGGTGGTGAATTCTGCACATTTATTTTAGGGCTAAACCTTTTTTGTGCAATTAGCTTAATTCTCGAGTATATATGTGGCCACCCCAGTTAAACTTAATTTACGGAGCAAATAACCATATATTTAGAAAAAAACTGTACCCACATTTAACTTGTTATAAATCAATTGGTTGTTAGCATCATATGTTTAAATATAGCTTGCGGGTATTGCTTTTATATAATTCGAATAAAACCCATACACTTGTAATTATATAAAAAAAAAAACGTTACAATAACTATAATCGTACAAATTGTGAGAGTCAAAAACGTCTAGGGTAAGTTATTGAGTGCTGATAAAAAGTCGGCGGGGCCTTGGTCCGAGACACGTGATCAAGAATAATTACTGAGCGGTAGCCGAGAAACGGAACGGGTCTGATAAGAACCATCTGTCGAGGGAGCGCGAGAGAGAGGGAGAAATAGGAGAGATCGCGAGATATAAGAGGGTGATACAATCGAGGAAACCACACGATCGTCCACCTGACACAGTGTGTCGACGGATGACTACGTCGGATTCGTCGGGAGAGGGGGGAGGGGGTAGTGGCGTTGGAGAGTGTGGGGAGCTCTTCGTGCAGCAGTGGATCGAGCACGACGAGGATGACGGACGAAACGCGAACGGAATGAATGAAGAAGCGATTTGTAGCGAGCTAAAACGCGAGCCGTGTGAATTCGCTGACGTACAGCAGCGCTGGGGGTGCCACCGACGGCACAAAGGAGGCCCTAAATACATTAACACTGATGCGTGTCATCGCAACACGCGGGGGCTATGGGCCAGCCACGGGGTCACGACCCCGTGAGCCGTGAGTGGCATGAGAAGCCTTGGGGGGGGGGGGGGGGAGGAGATCCGTTCTATACTTATCATCATTGGCAGCATCATCATCAACATCAGCCGTCGCAGTAGCAGCCATGATCAACCCACTGCTGGATGAAGGCGTCGCCAAGATGTTGTCGTCACCATCCCTCTCACACGATCGCGTGATGCAATAATCCACCGAGCCGAGAATATTTCATCACTCCATCTCCCCACTATGCGTCCCATTTATTGTCTGTCACTGTGCTACTATGCTTGACCATGGGTTTTATATTACATTATAAAGTTACGTCGATGTGGATGGTTTTCTTACTGTTGGTAAGGAGAAGATTTTGGTGGCTGTAATGAATGTGATGTTAGCGATGTCCATGTTAACGGTAATGAGCTTAATGATTATTATGACATTAACACCGTCTGTGATAATATACACGATTTCAATAGCTGTGGTGATGTTGTTAATGTGAACTTAATGACGATATTGATTACGTGACAATGTTAATCTTGATGATAATAATGTTCATGATGATAGTGATGTTAAGAACGATGTTAATAATATATAATGATGTTGAAAATGACAGTTATAGTGATGATGATAATGACGATAATAGTCACAATGAATATGAGGTCATTGCTGCTGCTGCTGATGATGATGATAATTGCATTTGAAGCTTTCTTGGTGAACTATTCATAGATCATTGAAAATATTGTACGAATAGAAAATATCGTTGTACCATTTGCTGTCTGTTAGTTATTATAATAACACAATACACGGTGCCAAAGACGTTCTACCGTTTAAAGCCTTGACTCTGCAAGCATAGACACGTGCATGTGATTTTTGAAAACTCCTGGACCACCGTGACCACGACTCACCGAAGACGGAGGAGAGACAAAGGCGGCTAAATAATCGTGGGATATATATATATTTATTAACATCATCAAACGTTGAACTAAGACCTCACAATGCTTATAGAGACATTTATTTTGAAAGTACTGGATGTATAGCACACACAAACACAATACAATGAAAATAATGTTGCTCGTACAAAGGTGGGGATCATTTGTATTGGAAAATATAATAAACCCGATCCAATTGTTATATTTTAAATGTCATATGCTTTGCAAAAGAGCCATTGACCGAAACGTCGCAGATTACACACACGTTTTTCTTTTAAGGCCACACTGTTGTTGACAAGTGTATTATTATTCTTGGTTCTTTCAGTAAAGTCACGTAAAAGGGAAACAATAAAATAATAAAAATATAAAACAATAAAATTCTCACGACGTTTCGACTGTAACACAAGCAATCATACACGATACGCCGTGACAGATGCAATGCAAGTCGTGACAAATGATATCCCAATGCCTTTCTTGTTGGAAAAAAAATGAAATCCTTGTAACTTGAGCGCCACACGCAATATTTTAAAAAACATATTTTCATTATTTTTACAAAAAAATTAATTGCGTAAATAAATCGCCCAAATCGAATTCGACCTGTATTATCAATTACTATTACAGTACGGCAATCTACAACGCCTAATCTCTATATAAATAGCATCGCTTACTGCCACTATCACGCACGAGAGCTCATTCAGATAGAGCGAGTGGTTGGCAGACCGGCGCCTCGCTGTTAACATTGCTCGCGCTCATCATCATCATCATCGCCGTCAAACTCATCATCAGCCACGGTCAATCCACTGCTGCTAGATGCATTGCTTCCCCAACACCGCCGCAAGCCGCTACCTATCGCGATGCTGTGACCCCGCCACAGCCTCTCTCTGTCTATTGAATCCAACAACGACGGACAGATTATATCTGGGCTGATGGAGGGGATATATATTGGGGCAAGTATTGGGAAACGATAATCCCCTGCGTCCAGACGCAAGGCACTCTCTCTCTCTCTCTGTCGACTACCTGCACGCGTCTCTGTGTGTCTCTCTGTGTGTCTTTCTGAGTGTGTCTCTCTGTGTGTCTCTTGGGGGCCACGCGGTAGTGGTAGTGGTGGGGGGGGGGGGGGAAGCATCCCACTCGGTCGAGCCTTAAAGTCAACACGTACTTGACGAGAGCGAGTGGAGGAGTGAGAGTGGGGAGATGGGAGAGAGAGGGAATATATATACAGAGAGAGAGAGGGTCGAAAAGAAAAAAAACACAACTCTTGAGAATTGTCTTATTTGTCCGCAAATATTGATCGCCCAGCCGAACATCCTTGGTAAAGAGTTGGGGGCGGAGTGGGAACGGGGGGGGGGGGCGGCTGTGGAGATGAGAGGGGGGCAGATGACTCGTGGGATTGGGAGAGAGAGAGAGAGGGGGGAGCGTTTTTATCGAGGTTATGTAAATGAGAGTCGCGCTCTCGGCCACTGATTGCGAGGGGTCCATCTCCCTCCCTCTCTCTCCAATGGGCGAGGCGACCGGAGGGGTTCCTCTCCCTCCTGCGAGAAGGAGTGAAATAGAGAGATAGACAGAGGTGGGGGTGGGGGGGTAGAAAGAGAGTGGGAGAGAGAGAGCGCCAGCTTCCGGGAAGACAATCCTTAAATACATCCCGCCCTGCCACGATCCCCCGCTTTAGCGAGTTCCAGACGACAATTCAGACGGACAGGGACACGCGTACGCGCGCGCGGACAGAGACACACGCACGCACGAGCTCGCGGACACAGAGACGCACGCGCGGCAGACACGCGCGAAGGCTAAGGAGGGACTCTCCGAGACACTCACCATTAACCACGGCGCCACTTGATTCTCTCGAGAAGACTCAACTTCTTCAGCGTGATCTCCTCGTCCTGCTGCTGATGCTGCTTCTGCCTCGTCGTCGTCTTCTTTGTGGGGAAGGGTTCTGAGGTCAAGCCGCTGAGATCCCAGTAATAATTCCCAACATCGTCAACATCAGCAGCAGCAGCAGTGAACATCAATAGCAGCAAACAGCGAATAGCAGCGACAGGCGAACAGCAGCAGACAGATTGGCGAGTTTAACATTTGAGCGACACACCTGTTCCACTTAAACAGGCGACACACGCTTTAATCAAAGCTTATCTAGGTATATATATATACGCATATATACACACATATATACATATATACACATATATTTGAAAGAGGAGTTATCTGAGACTCGAAGCTGGGGGTGGGGGGGGGCTACACGCGATACATCGTAGCCTACCGTTTTAATCTCTTAATCATCATCATTATTGCCACCTCCAATAAAATAATTATTTGTATTGGTTATAATAATCACGATCGTGATTTCACTCCGGACTCGTCTTGACTGACGACGGCTATAACGGCCTCTCCGAAGCGGCCGCCACCACCACCACCACCGCCACCACCACCGCCACCACCGCCACCACCACCACCGCCACCACCGCCGCCACCACCGCCGCCACCACCGCCGCCGCTACGATGCCCGCTCTCAGCGTCAAACCGTGCAGTTTCTCGGTGCGAGACATCCTCGGCTTGCGGGACTCGGAGGACGACGACGGCGGCGGTGACTCCGCGTCGGAGAGCAGCGACGCGGGCGAGAGCGCATCGGGGATCGAACCTCGCCCCGGTGGCTCGCGGGGAGGCGAGAGACCGCACGCCGAGGAGGAGGAGGAGGAGGCGGAGGAGGAGGAGGCTCCCTTCCGTGGGTTCGAGGACGGCGGCGGCCGCAGGTGGCTGCACGAGGCCGAAGACGACAGCGATTATTCGCGTGAGTTTGTAATGATTGCTGTGACTTTTCGCGAGTAAAACAATTGTAGTTGCTCGTCAATGCGATGTGCTCGTCTGTCGAGCCTTCGAGGAAAGCAACGGCTGAGCCGTAGGGTCCGTTTGCAAAAGGGGTGCTGATGCTACAATGGGGGTTTTATTTTATTGGGTCGTTTTCAACCAATTAATTATTATTTTTAAACAATATTTTCATTATAAAACACGTGCGGAGGAAGCCGGAGCACCCTGAGAAAACCCGCGCATTGCGAGAGGAGGCAACACTCAATCCCCGTACAGATGGGAAACAGATGACCGATACATCCACGTGCTAAGTTCATCGGCGTGAGGTCCAATGTTACGCTCCACATGCTGCTACTGCTAGGAGCTTCTTTAAGGAACAGCCAGCAACGCTGAACCGATGGGTGCTCCTGAGATTTGGGTCTCGGGGAAAGTGGAGCGAAACGTCGGACGTCGAAAGCCACGAACATCCACGCAGCAGGGATGTTGATCTATCTGCCTTGTCGCGCGTAGCCTTGTATGTACGTATGTTGAACTTCTTTAATACCGTACGTAGCCAACCGTGCTAATCGCAGGTGCGTGTAATGAACAACAAACTAAACACAACAACAACAACAAACAAAACCCGCCTCGCTTGGTCGAGGGAAAAGATCCGGAGCCTCGGATATCAAATAAAACCAACAACAATGCGCGTTGTCCATCAAGTAAGGTATCGCGAAGTCTCAAGACGCACTTGCGTGGGGAGGGTCTTGCTCCGTAAGTTTGTTTAGACAACGCCGTCAACGGGACGGCGTTGGCTTCGAGCGGGAGGAACACCCCGGGAGTCGCCCGGAAAAATCCCACGGGCTCATACGAGGGGGGGGGGGGGGCTAACCCACGGAGAAGCTCCGCGCAGATGGATTTAGGAATATTGCTGCCATCTTTTGCCCACCTCGCAACCCAAAGCCTGCGGGCTTCTTCGTCATTCGGCCGGGGCTGCCTCGGTGCTCGATGACTTAAGCGGCTTCAACGCCGCTCGAGATTTCGAGTTGCGACAGCGTCGAACGCACTCGGCTGACGATTCGGGAGCAGTGATCAGCTCACGGGGGTTGATAAGTGCACGCCCAAGGGCGAGTCTCGTCCTCAATGTCCGCAGCTCTGCACTCTCGTCAGTCCTGTTGAGCGGTTGTGCCATCGCCGCTATCGGCAAGTTTCATCGTCACGCATCGTGTTTGATGCTGATGATGCTGATGATGCTGATGAATTGTAATGTGAGTCGTCATCGCGATGATCAGTTTGATTGACAGGCGGTTTTGAGACCAGTGTTAGATTAAAGGGCTATCCACCCCGTGTGAGTCGTCTGGGTTGCTTGACCATACTTCACCACTGATGTCAGCCGTGGCCGCGAGTTGAACTCACTCTGCGATGCGAATTCCGTCTTGGTTGCGGATTCACAGCGCAGCACGCTAATCATTGCGCCACTACTCCCCCCAATCATCATCATCAACAAATATTATGGTATTTCTCAATGTTTGCGAATAGCATGTAGATTTCAAGATTGCATACACACACGTATTATTTAAAAGAAAAAAATAGTATTTTTATATATCCACCGATAAACGTTGCATATGCAAGGTAATTTGCGACTTAAAAGAACAGCAAGGCAATTGACAATCTTGAAGACACAGACTTACGAACAAAGATTGCAACGTTTAATCACATGCATTTGTTGATGTTGTAATCAGTGGATTAGAAGTACAGCTCGTCGCTGTTTGTTGTATAACGTCGGCCCGGGTGCTAATGTTTAGCGCCCTGCGCAAGCACGCACGCATGTGCTCGTGTCGCAAGCGTGCGTGCATGCGCTCTCAGTGACTTCGCGCGTACATGTCTGGGAACAATCATAATAATATATACAAAATAAAACTTTTAATAATTCGCTTCATTTAGACTGGAGGAATCCGAGTTACTATTATGCTCTCTTTTTAACAGATGTCCAGAATCTTACTACCACCATGCGTGTGTGTAATTATAAATACTACGTACATTCTGATGGGTGTATTATTGTTGTTGTCACGATCGATTGAGCGCTATTCGGGAGAGCACGGCTAACAATGAAATGCATCGCGTTCGTCAAGGACAATACCATGTGCTTGTGGCCTTGACATTTGAAGGGAAACAATGTATATATAATATGCGACGTTTCGGTCAATTGCCCTTCTTATTAGCAAGGACGCCAATGCTATGAAAAAGGATCATTTCACAGAAAAGTCGCCTTCTTCATAGCAAAAATATGATGTGCTTTGAAAATGGGCCAATCCCCGAAACGTCACCCCGTATATATACTTGTTCTGTTGAAGGCCACTCAGTGTTGTCATTGACGAGCGTGTTAAGTTTGTTGTTGTTGATGTTGTCGTGTGTGTGCCTGTGCATCACTGCCAAAGGAGCAACAGCAGTCACCATGCGTGCAGGCAGTTTAATTGGGAAGAGCGATCGACTTTGTCTGGGACTCTACAACAACAACGGGCGATGCAGGCGCCAATTACGCGACGCGACTCGCTGGGACGAGGCCGTCTTGGTTTATTACAAGCACAGCTAACGAGCGTGACATCGGCTGTAGTCACACACGACAGTTGTAATATCATGATCATCATCATCAATAATATTCACGTATTCTCTGGATTATAAGACGTTTCTGACAGTCAGACGTAGCGTCAATAAACGTTTACAATACCAATTCGGTCACAAAAGGACAAATATCCCCCGTGTAGTCTTAACAGACCATGAAGGTCGGCACTGAACACGACGGGGCGAGTGGCGATCGCGACCGCGCCCGACCGCCTTTGTCTCCCTAGTGGCGATGTTTTACACGCCGCACCAGATACTTGTTCGAGGCTGAGTCGACCTAGGGGAGGCTTAGAATCGGTTCAGAAATTCGTCACTGGTGTTGACCGTGAGCGGGAATCGAATTGGGGTTGCCGGCTTTATAGCTCGGCGAGCTCCCCGCTACGATACCGCTTCCCACAAACAACCAAAGCAAAGATCCCCCGGATACCCTTAACATACTTTTGAGGCAAGTGCTGTTAGCGAGCGCCTACGAAGGCCGGATTATAAGACGCAACCCGAATGTTGTGCGTTGCTTTTAAACCACGAGTTCGTCTTACAATTGCGAGAGTTCGTCGTGTTCATGGAAAATCGGTTTTGCGTGTACGGCAATCTCTCTCCACCTTGGTGATTTACCACCACCGTCCAATCGTCAAGTTTTACTTCGAGGAACCAGGCGAGAGTACGTAGCGGAACGAACACAGGTAACATCAGCAACAACAAAAATAGACCTGGGATATACGACAGAGCAATTGGCATATATACGTATGTACACACAGGTAAATACAACCAATAGGATATATCTTAAAAGGTGTATGTGCTCGCGATGAGTTGTTTTGGAATGATTGTGTTGTATACGTAAAGGCTTTCATGACCAATATTATTATTTTCATAATTATGATTCGGAATTAGTGACAGATCCATTGCATGGGTCTCTGTTGGCTGTCGGAGGGTTATCGTTAAACGTGTCATCGTTATACACTCACTGCGCGAGATACGCCACTAGAATTGCTGCATCATTAATTTCGTTTGCGATGAAGAGGGACCCGGCAAGTATTACGGAGCGATCTTACCAATAACATCTCTGAAACCCTGCAGTGTCTGTTGAACAACGCCGGTCTCTGCGCATGAGACCCAGGATGTCAAAACCGGTGCGACGCGTTTGTTTAAACAAACGTTGCTGGCTGATAGGCCGATGGACTCAACATAATCTTAACATTATCGAGATAAACTAACAGTTGTGTGTATGTATGTTCAACTGTATTACGCGTAAATGTGTTAGACATATTAAGGAAAGACAAAAGCAATGGTAATAATAATAATAACGTAACGAATCGGTGTGGAAAAAGGGTATAGAGCCCAGACATCAAAGGCTTTAAAATTTAATTGGCAGATGGTCAAGCATAATAACGGAGTGGCTGCCAAGGAATAGAACGCGTCTGAGGGGAAGGCGACCATCGCGGATTAACATCCCAGGACGGCCGAGAGACGACGACGATGGCTCGGGGTGGATCGACTCGAGTAGGCGAGGAATTAATCCAGCAGTAGATTGACCACTGCCTGACATCGATGACGATGTTGGTGGGGAGCGGTGGTGCAGCGGTTGGCGCGCTGCGCTACGAACCCGGCGATCCGCGTTCGTTCGCGGCGTCGCGACCAACACCTAGTGACGATTATCTGAACCCGTCCTGGGTCTCCTCTAGGTCGACTCAGCCTCGAATGAGCAGCTGGCGCGGCGTGCAAACAGGCGGACGGGCGTGGTGTTTAGCCACCCACCTCCCTCGTGTGCCGTTCCGGCCTTCACAGGTGCTCGCTAACAGCACTTGCCCCAACAGTCTGTTAAGGCTACACGGCGCGGCGGCGGCAGGGGGTGGGTGTCTTTGTCTTCTGTCTTTGGTGGTGAAAATGAATGACGGTGAATCGCGCCTATTCCCATCTCTCCATCTCATCTCCGTGTCTGTCGCCTGCCCCCGTCTGCTCCGCGCAGTTCGCCGCTGCCAGCCGCTGCCTCTGCAGCTCCGCGCGGCGGTCGGTCACGAATTCACCGCTGGCGTCGGAAGCAAAAGCAGCAGCAACGGCAGCAACGACAGCAGCCGGGGCATCCTCATCAGCGGCAAGGACGAGCTGATGATGATGCCGCGCGGCGGTGGCGGCGGCGGCGGCACCGGCGGCGGCACCGGCGGCGCTGGCGACGCGGACGGAGACGTCGACGGGGAGGGCATGGTCGAGACCGCCGAAGAGGAGACGGAACTTCTGTCGTGCCGCGCGGACGAGGAGCCGGGCAAGAAGCGCAAGCGGCGGGTGCTCTTCTCGAAGGCGCAGACGTTCGAGCTGGAGCGCCGCTTCCGCCACCAGCGCTACCTGTCGGCTCCCGAGCGCGAGCACCTGGCCAGCTTGCTCAAGCTCACCCCGACCCAGGTGAAGATCTGGTTCCAGAACCACCGCTACAAGATGAAGCGAGCGCGCGTCGAGCAGGGCATCCACGCGCTGCACGGCCCCGCGTGCTCCGCGCTGTCACCACGCAGGGTCGTGGTGCCCGTGCTGGTCAGAGACGGAAAGCCGTGCGGCGCAGGCTCGACGGGAATCTTAGGAGGCGGAGGACTTGCAGGCGGTGGTGGTGGTGGTGGTGGAGGAGGAGGTGACGGACGACTCGATGGCTCACCAACGTCCTCGCTGCATCACCACCACCACAACCACATGCCATCGGTGGCGGCCGCGGCTGCGGCGGCCGCGGCGGCCGCAGCGGCCGCCGAAAGTCGACTCCGGTTGCTGGAGGTGCAGCCTGAAGCGTTCCAGACTTGCATCCCCTACGCGCTGTACGGCGCTCACCACGCCACCAAGTACAACCTCCACTTTAGCTACTGCGGCGCGGGCGTGAGCGGCCCCGCTTTGAAGAACGGTGCCATCCTTCCGATTCTGAATCATCATCAGCAGCAGCATCAGCAGCACTGCCGGCAGAGCAATTGGTAGGGACTTGAACAATCATCCGTGCGATGAAGTGAACACGTGCGCTAAAGAGCTGGCTCTGTCATGCTACGTACAGACTACACACATGCATGTGGATATAATGTAGTAAAGCCTCCATCGCTGCACGCCACTGTAGACACGTGTGTATGTATGTGAGTGTATATGTGTGTGTGTCACATCGCCGCTAGGGATACAAAGGCGACCGGGCTTTGTGCTGGCCCACCCACCCTCTCGTGTGCCGTGCCGGCCTTCACAGGTACTCGCTATAACAGCACTTGCCCCAAAAGTTTGTTAAGGCTACAGGAGAGATCGTTGTCTTTGCGTGTGTATGTGTGTGGCGAGCGGTGAGTGTAAGTGGTTAACCGTACTGCGCTACGAACCCGACGACCTGAGTTCGATTCCCATTCACGGTTAGTGTACCAGTGGCGAATATCTGGTCCTCCTCCCTAGGTCGACTCAGCCTTAAAATTAATACATGTTGCGGTGTGTAAAACATCAGCACTGGGAGACAAAGACGGCCGGTAGTAGTGCTTGGCCACGGTCACCTAATCGGGCACCGTTCCGGCCTTCGTAAACAGCACTTGCCCCAATAGCATGTAAAGGCTATAGCGGGGGAGATCTTTATCTTTGTATGTATGTGAGTGAATGAGTAAGTGCGTGTGTATTATAGTCGTGCATGTATGTATCGATATATATATACACACACACACACAAACGAAATCAACTTATTTTAATTATTATTATTCTGAGTTGAAATGTTTATGTCACCACCAAATATAATTTTGCATTACCGATTTCACAAATCGCATTTCCCCCAAAAAACATATATAACGCTACCTTGGCATCTCGTGACGAAATACAGTGGCTATGTGCATAATGTACTTTACCAACAAACAAAGAAATATATAATATATATGAGATGTACATTCACGTAACAATCCACGCGTTTCGCTGTGTATAAATATATGCATATTGCAATAATTGTACAAATGTAGATAACATGCGTTCTCGAAATATAACAATAATTGGTCTTAATAGTAGTTGCAATAATTAAGACACACAACAACCGCCATTCGCCACTAAAGTGGCGGAGACGTCACCACGGCGCTCGTGCCAGGCTAGGTGCACTTTGAGGAGGCCACGTGAAGTGTCGATGGCTCACTGCCAGGAAGGTCGCGGAACAGACCCTGCAGGTGCCATGGGTTGACTGACCAATCAACACACACAGACAGAGAGAGGTTCACAAGTAATGTGTTAAAGTAAAATATAATGTCACAATGATCAACATACAATGGTCTATACAACACGTGCTGTGTGGTGGTGATGATAATACTTTGGCCAATAGTGCACAAGAACAGCAAACAACAATAACACATTTGTCAATAACACCGTGGCCTTAAAAGTAATATTTATATTAAAATAGTCGACGTTTCAGGCAATGGCACCTTTTTTCATAGCAAGTAGAAGGACCGTTTTCCCGAAACGTCGCCTCTCATTGTATATATATTCCGCTTAGGCGAGTGTTTATTGACGCATGTGTTGAGAGTTTGTAGCGTTAATGGTAATTTCACGTGGGGTATTTCCTTGATATATGATTTGTGATTCAATGACGACGGCTACTTTCAGCATCAAATACTAATTTCGTTAAGATCTCCGGATGTACATGAGTGTATATGCCTTTGTTTTGTTCTCATTGCTTTAGAGGGAGAGGCTTATGGTAGGTATATTTTATTGTTATACGTACGTATTCGCACACATAAACATATATATAGGTTCAAGTAATATCCGTCGAATTTCAGCCGTCGTTGGATTATTTCAAAGTATCATTTCCTTGGGGCTGGCAGTACGCAGATGTCTCCCAGCATCTCTCTCATTCGTTGTTTTGTTGTTGTTGTCTGTGTACAGCTTTCTGGCGTGTGGCATTTTTTTTTTGCTAACAAAAATAATAATAAACGGAAAACTGTGTCTTTCGAACAGAACACGTCTGCTATGAAGTGAGTAACAGGCGTTCTCGATTAAAACAAACACAACACAAATCTCCACGAGCACCGTATACCACCACCACCACAAATCATTTATCATCAATCATATCTTGTACAGGCCCCGTTTGTCAGTCCCACTGCTGGATGATGGTCAGTTACGGTTGCCGTTTGACCATACTTTCACCGCTCTGGGCGAGTGCGTGAGCATTATGGGGATAATCTGCGGACCTGGGCGTGCGGGTGGACGGTGTGGGTGGACGGTGTGGGTGGACGGTGCGGGTGGACGGTGCGGGTGGACGGTGCGGGTGGACGGTGCGGGTGGACGGTGCGGGTGGGCGGTGCGGGTGGACGGTGCGGGTGGAGGCGGGAGTGGGGGGGGCGGTCATGGTGGCATTTTTATTTCGGCGGTGAACAGAATCGGTTGAGATTCACAGCTCGTCACTGATATTAACCGCGGTCGGGTAATTAGAACTCAGATTCGTCCGGCTTCGTAATCATAGCACAGTTGCGCTAACCACTGCGTCACCGCTCTTCCTTACGCACACCACGATTCACAACCACCATCACCACCGCCGCCGCCGCCGCCGCGGACAATGCACGTGCAGCTGTTTAGCACAAGTGCTATCGTCGCTAATGGCTCGAGCAAGGAGGTAGCGTGGAGCCGGACGGAGCTAATAAAATCGCTCGCGTTGAAGTCCCCGCGCAAAAGCGCGAGAAGTGCCGCGCAATTGCACACAAAGACAAAGATCCCCCGTGAGAATAGTTTGGGGGCAAGTGCTGTTCGCGAGCACCGGTGAACGCCAGCCAAGGGCATACGACGGCGTGGGTGGCCAGCACCACGGCCGGCCGCATTTGTCTCCCTCGTGGCGATGTTTACACCAGGTACTCATTCTAGGCTGAGTCGAGCTAGGAGAGGCCCAGTTCAAATGATCGTCACGCTTGGTGGTCGTGAGCGGGAATCGGGTAGTCGGGTTTGCAGCGCAGCGCGCTAACCACTTCGCCACCGCTCCTCAATCACGCACACACGCAAACACGCGCGCGTGCCTTTTGCCGTTAGTTAATTCCCATTGATTGAATTTGTGTTGGGGATAACACAAATTGCACGGGGAATTGATTAATTGGCCGGTTTTATTTCGGCGTAGTGTAACCGCCACGGATTAATGTATGTGCGGGGTGTTGCACTTCTTTCGCACCGTACGTAGCCGTCCGTGGATAATCGGAGGTGCGGGCCAAGCTGAGCTCGCAGTCGATATGTTACGGAAACTCTGCGTAGGAGGGTGTGCTTGAAGGCCGGATAATCGGCGTAAGGCGCTACCACTAGACTACAAGGTGACGCCTATCTCTGGTAATTATGTATTATTTTACAATATATGCCTATAAACGCTACGAAGAGGCTTTTTTAAATTTAGAATATGTTTATAAGGGCAGCATGAGGCGAGATTTTGATATTTTCTGACAGAATAACTGTAAACTCACAGCGTTCTGGACCTATCTCGGCTCACATTATCAGCACTTGCTCGTCTAAACCGACTGTAAATCACGGATCTGTATAAATTTGAATCCATACAAAAAAAAACCGACTAGACCCGAGAATGGGAGATGGGAGATGATGTCGTATCATCATCACGAGTCCAGTTGATGGACCGGTCCGACAATATGCGCACAACGTGATGTCCTGTTTGTATACTTTAAAAAAATCCGTGATCTCGTTCTGAGATGAGAGCGCTTGTTCCTCACTTAGAGAAATTGGCACCGCTGGCTATGCAACTCTCCGTGCCTTGATTTCGGTCGGAACAAATCCGGAACAGATCCGATGTTTGTGTTTGTTTGCCAAGGGAGCGTTCATCTCACTGTTCGCGAACTGAATAGCACGCTGACAACAATGGCGAGTCCGTTTATTTATTGGCATGGACCTGCATACACGTGGAGGTTATAAGACCATACGAATATCGGTTATGCGGTATTATGATGTTGTTATGGAAAGCCGTGTCTTGCGATCTAAGTGGTAGTGCCTTACGCCAATAATCTCTACGACAAGCGCTCAGTAAACCAAAAATATATCGTGTAAAGTGAATCCCTGATTAGGGTTATTTCCGCCACGCGGCATCTATTAATGAATATAATAAACACCACAGCATATAATAATAATATACAGTACATTATTATTTCCCGTATTGTTTCGTATTAGTGTAGAGATCTGCTCCATCGCTCGCAGCAGGATGGTCGACGTTAATCGACGCATGCGGTGGCATAGAAAGCTCAGCAAAGGTGTCAGCCTGGCAAATCTCACGAGACTCGCCCCCCCCCCACTCCACCGTATCATCATTCCCGAGTGACGATCCATTTCTTTGGCCAACGCTCTCGTTGTACAAACATCGTGATCGCGCAACGCTCGGTCAATGAGTAGTGAGAGATGTCGAGGGCGAGCAGCCACGGCCCTGATGTTTACACTCTCGCACAAACAACACAACACATCAACTCAACGCGTTCTTCGTCTCACATATTATATACGTACGCGTAACGTATAATAGGCGACGTTTCGGGCAATGAACCTTGTTAATCGCGCGCGAATCGTACGTAGCACGCGCACGCGTTCACATATTACCAGTCGCTTTGTTTCCAATCGACTGATCACGGCAACAGATGGAGGTCTTCTTGTTGGTTGTTGTTGTTGTTATCCTGCAATGTTAGCTCACCACGCCGCTCCGTTACGGCTTGCGGTGTACGCGGGGAGCATAGGCGTGCGGGCTGAGTACGTTACCACAACTCCGCGTAGTCACACCGGGGGGAGCGGGTGGCGCGTGGCCTGGAGAAATGTGAATCTCCCCCACGCGGATGAGTGACCAGAGTCAAATTCACCACGGTCTCGGTCTTTGTTTGTATTATATTGACGAGATTTAAACATAAAAACGGATTCGTTATAAATTGCTTGTTTTTTTCTTCTTTCTTTTAAACCATGAAATGTTGCCACGTTATATATATACGCACACAGTATATATTTACGCAAGTTACTGCTTTATATAGAAATACAATGATACGGGTTACGGCCGTTTTGTTGAACACACGTAAACATGAATTATTTCTTTAAAAACAAAGGACAACAACATTTTTAATGAGCCGATCGCCCAAACAAAACAAATAGAATGAGCACAACGCAGTGTGTGGCGAGTGTCGCAGTGGCGAGTTGACTAAGACATGGTTGGGGGTATCGGTTGTCCAAGCCGCCCCCCACACACGCGCGCGCGCACAACCACGCAACCTACCGCTGCTGCT